ATAATTTTAACTATATACTTAAATTGACACAGCCTTTCTGCTTTTCAGTTGTTTGTATTCAAGAAAGATGTCAATATATGTGTACACAGAGACTTGTTAGCAACTATTTTAATAATAGCCAAGACCTGAAAACAGTTCAAATAAATATTAACAGATTTTTGGATGAACAGATTATATTTATTAACTAGCATACTACTCAGTGACCAAAAGGAACTTAATTCCTGATATGTACAATAGTATGAATGAATATGAGAAGTATAAAGTGAGAGATGCAGAGTTGTTCCATACTACCTGTGGGATTTTATTATGCATGCGGCTAATCTCTGCTGTTACAAACCACATCAGTCACTGAGACGGGAATGAGAGAACTGACTGAAAAGACTGACGTATCTTTGCTAGTGTCTGATGGAGTTCCTGGGAATGCCCTCACCTTGTTTCACCTGACAGTTACTGAAGCGTTAGCTCACTGCACTAATAATACCTGTTTCATTTTATTAGCTCATTTGTCACTGAATTTGATACAAATTTTTTTTTTTTTTGTCTTTTTCCTTTTTATCGGTACCGGGATCGAACTCACGACTGCCTGCTTGCAAGGCAGGCGCTTATGCCGCTGAGCTAAATCCCCAGCCCCTTGAATTTGATACAATTTAGTGAGAGGGATGTGAATAGTTATGGGCTGTACCTTGTGAATTTTGAGAGTACTATCAAAGATATGCCAGTAGGCTTTATCATACTCAATGTTTTTATGGAGGTAAGTACTGGGACCTTGTCATTTAACCCTTTTTGGAGGAGAAAGGGAAAGTTTATTGCAAGAAGTGATGTAGAAGCTGAACCAGAGGATTGAGGATTTTTTTTTTTTTTTTTTGTATCTATATTTCTATATGGTTGGGTGATGAGAAAGTTCCAGACAGGAAATATTTGGTGTGAAGGTGTAGAAATGAGAGCATATAACTGGAAGTCCTGTGAGAGTGTCGAGGGGCATGGGGCACACTCAGGAAAGGTGGGCTGAGGAATGTTTGAGGGCATGAAAGAGTGTGCGGATGGGTAAGTGGTGCTTAGAGATTATGCTGGATAGTTTAGCAGAGATCGAATTTATAATCTTGAAGGCTTTACAAGTGGGTTGAGTCTGTCCTAAAACAGTAGAATGAGATTGCGTATGTATAGGAAGATCACTCTGGCTTTCAAACATAAAAAAAATGAATTAAGCAGAGTACGACTAGGCTAGGCGTGGCACCCTGGCACCCAGGCGTGAGGTTTCTCAGGAGCCATCACTAGATCTTCGTCTGTAGAAGGAAAGTGGCAGTGGGGATGTCGAAAAGCAGATGAATTTCAGAATGTTCAGGATGTAAAGTCAGCAGGTCGGGGTTGGATATGGGAGACGAGGAGTGTTTGAGGTGAAAAAATTCTATTTTTGGATAGGCTAGAAATTTGCAAAAGATCGGTATTTAAGGAATGACTGAGGCAAAAGATGCTAAGAATAAATTTCAAAAATGAGAAGTGTTAACACAGCAACTTGTGGATGTTGGATTTGGAGGATAGTAAAGGGGTTAGATGTTTGGTGAGTACTTAAAATACATAAGGGTTAAAACGTATCATTGCCGATCTTGGAGAGAGCAGTTATAACACAGTGGTGAGGGTAGTACATAGATTATAGTAGATTGTTAAGAGCTAAGAAGCTTTTGTGGTCTTAAAACTGGTTGTAAAAGGGAGAGGAGTTAGAGGGATATAGCCAAAGAATGAGATAGAGGGAAGGAGTTTACTTTTGGTTTTGAATAGCTGTTGTTTTGTTTTAGGACGGAAGATCATTGATGGGAAACAGTAATCAGAAAGCAAATGGCTCTAGATGCCGTTGTGAGAAGGGAGAGGAATAATTAAATAAGCTGAGTTCCAAAAATTCAACTATGGAAGTTAAGAAAGGGATGGAGCCAGGCATGTTGACTCTCGCCTGTAATCCCAGCACTCAGGAGGCTGGCATGGGAGGATCCTTGGGAGTTCGAGACCAGCCAGGGCTACAGAGTGAGCTCAAGGCCAGCCTGAACTGCATAGCAAGACCCCGTCTCAAAGAAGACAAAAAGAAAAAAGGGAGGGAGGGGAGAATCTTTAGGTTTTAGTGAGAGGAAGAAGATTGATTACAGCTAAGTTGATAGGTTATATACCGGTGGAATTAGTATATTTAAGAAATGCTTGGATTCAGTGCTTAGAACATTGGTTCAATAGAACTTTACGAAAAATGTGTGAAAAGTCCTCCCCCTTTCCATCCTCATGTATATACATATTATTCTTGGAAGAAACTTTTAAGATTTCATTGAAGTATACCTGTGAACTATGGCCTCATTGTCTGTCTGCATGCTGAATTGCTTTCTGTTGGCTACTCTTGCAAGTTTAATTGGATGTTACATTCTTAAGTGACACAGAAAATACATTTCTTGCTTTGTTCATTGTGTTAAGTGAATACCCTGTGTTTGCAATGTTACCAATGGATTACTTTTTTTTCTTGAGCTTGCAAATAATCAGTAGTTTTAGTTTTTCACTTACAGTTTGTTTCCTGATTTTAATGTACCTGGATACATTCTAGTCATTCTGGATTGATACTTTAACTCATACAGATAATAACCTCTAAAAATAAAACTTTTCAGATTATTTTTTAAAAAATGAAATTAGTTTTACCTTATCCTGAGTGTAACTTGGAAGATTAATGAAAGTGCATAAACATAGTGTCAGACTCAACACCTTTATCTACAGCAGTTTGTTTGGATCAAAAAGATACGAATTTACGATTAATGTACATTAGAAAAGATTAGAATGTAATGCATCAAGTGTGTGGTATTGTTAAGCTTTTAACAGAGGTTTCCACTCTCATTTCCAGGTAATCAGGAAAGAGGGAGCATTCCTGAGCCAGAGTTGAGGGGCTTTGGCTGAGATGTGTCAACTGTTTTCTTTGCCATAATTTCACCTTCTTTGCCATAATTTCAACCGCTTTGACTGCCTAAGCAGATGGGTCTTTTTCTCTTTCTGCTTTCTCTTATTTCCCTGAGGGTTCTTTTCATTACTGAATTCATTGCCTTCTTAGAGATAGGCTTGTGTTGAAGGGCAGGTATATACAAATATCTGCACTCTTTTCGTAGAACCCTTTGGCTATGAAGTTTAGTCATTTGTGATTATTCTCTGTCACATAAAAATGTCAGATGTTCATTAAGCTTAGGAAACTGCAAAGCAACGAAGTGTTGAAAAAGTAAAGGGAAAGCACTTTCTGATTGTAGGAGCAATTGAGCTTAGCAGTCTAGCTAAGCAAAAGCTATTCCAAAGCTAGTATTTTTCTTTAGGCCTCACCAACCCTGTTTTGAATGATCTCAACTCCTTGTTGCATAATTAGCTTATGCACGAAGTTTAACAAATTTGAATAGCACTTAAGTAGGTGAAAAGTCCAGCTGCCTGAATGATTTTCTTTGGAATAAGAATATTCATATTTTTGAGCCACTCATTTAAAACCCAGTTATGAAATCAGTAGCATAGAGAGTTATACAATATCTGAAAGGCCATTTGAGATTGATTGATTCATTGTATTTTTCACAGTGTTGGTGAAATTTGTAGCCTCGCATGGCAAGCACTTTACCATTGAGCTGCATTCCCAGCTCGACTTTATTTTTTTAATTGACAAATTAAAATCCATATTTTTATGTCTAGAAATTGAATAATTGAATTAACAGGTTACTTATATCACACCAAAGTCAGTTTTTCTAGAAAATACGAAGTTATGTACCATATTTCTAAAATGTCAGAATTTTTTTTAATTAAGTGAACTTTTAGATCTTAGAGGTTGATTTATATACTTGAAATAGAAAAATAATTAAATTTAAATAGAAATAACTGTAATAATACTAATTCATTTGAATATACCAGCTGATAATACTAGTAATTTACATAAGTGAATTTATAGGATAGGATTTCCCTTTGCAGTTCAGGCAGGCCTTGAACTTACTTTGTAGCTCAGGCTGTCCTTAAACTCATGAGAGATCCTTCTGCCTCAGCATCTTGAGTGCTGGGATTATAGGTGTGTGCCACCATGCCTGGCCTAATTTTTTTTTTTTTAATCCTTTTAAAACTAGGTTTTTTGATAGTACTGAGGATTGAACTAAGGGTGTTCTCAGCTGTATCTCCAACACTTTATTTTGAAATTGGGTCTTGTTAAATAGCCCTAGACTGGCATTGAACTTTTCCATCCTTTCTCAGTCTAATAGGTAACTGGGATTAGAGGTGTGTGCTGCTAAACCCAGCCTAAAAGTTACTTTTTCACGATTTCGTTGAAGTTTAGTCATTGAATAATAAACTACATGCTCAAATAATAAAAGTATATAATATAATTTATATTTTCATTTTTTTTTGATTGTTTCCTGGGTTTGATTATTGTAAATAAAGCTGTTGTGAACACTCATACACAGAGCTTTGTATGAAAATATGATTTCATTTTTCTGGATGGCTTGTTAATTGTGTAGTGGCTATGGCTGTGGCCATTACACAATTGCCTTTACCTTTCTGAGAAACTACCGAACTGTTTTTCTAAAGTATTTGTACCATTATGTATTTCCACTCTTGAGTATGTGAAATTTCTATTCTACATTCTTTGAAACATGTGATATAGTCAGTTGAAAACCTTTCTAAAAAATTATTATCCTTCTGTTTGTGTAGTCTTATAAATAAAAAGATCATTTGGAAAATGTAAAAAGAGTGTCAAATAAATAGCAAAAAGATTTTTAAAATTAATTTTTTTTTTGATACTGGGGATCAAGCTCAGGACCTCACACTTGCCCAGCAGGTGCTTGTGCTGCTGAGCCAAACCTCTAGCCCAACTAAAGTTAATTTTTAAAAGCAATGTAGTTATTATGATGATAAAAGGTAGCTTGCTAAAAACATTGGAAAATTGGAAGATACTGTTTGATTTTAAGGGAACGATTTTGTTATGTGTGTACTTGATTTTTAGGCTTATTTTTTTCCTTTCATAGAGTTTTCCAGAAAAGGACCTTCTGCACTGTCCATCTAAGGATGCGATTGAAGCTCATTTTATGTCTTGCATAAAAGAAGCTGATGCTTTAAAGCATAAAAGTCAAGTAATCAATGAAATGCAGAAAAAAGATCACAAGCAACTTTGGATGGGACTACAAAATGGTAACTATAGCAGTGCTTAATTTCAGAATGCCACTTTAATTCAGTATCCATCCCCAGATTTGCACAGTAGCTATTTTTAGTTATCTCTTTCCTTATAATCTTCCAATATCCCTGTTTAGGATTCTCTAGCATTAGACCAGTCACTTAGCCCAAGATTTAACAAGTGTACAGATTGTTTATAGCTTTTGAAGACAGTGCCTCTGTATTACTTGTAGGGTATGATTCTCCCTCTGAGGGATGACCCTTCTGGAATTACAACTGGAACCTGAGGTTGTGTACCCAGGTATCTCTACTTGGGCAGGGATACAATGTCACCTTTTGCTTTCTCAAAAAAGTAGATTTGCTTTGTGCTTAGTATCTCTCTACTCTGTGATACAGAAAATTCCTCCAAGAAAACAGATGGGAAACATGAAGTTCTTTATATTATACATCTTTTGGATATGATAGTTCTCTAATCTTGGTTCCAGCAATTTCAGGCATTTGGTTTAAATAACATAATTATTGTTTTACATGGTTCCAGTATGCATGAATTTCATTTACCATGGTTCAGCTAAGTAACACCAGCACTCTATTTGGTTCTAATTTTAGTTACTATGTTATATTAAATAAATTACAGAAAGTATAATTTTATTGCTAGCTGTTCAATACAGCAATGGTTTCATAATGTTATATTTTGTAAATTGATATGGTCATGATCAGTGACAAATCATATTTCTTCTTACAATGTCCAGTTTTAGTATATGTGCTGCCAAAGTGGGCACTTTACAATGTCCGTTAGTTGGTCTTTAGGTATTTGTTATTCTGTTCTCCACAGTCAGCAAAGTATGTAGTTCTAGTGCTTACTTGTTTCCAGTAATAAGTATTGTAACATTTTAAACAGAATTGGATAAGAAACATAAAAATGCAGCAAAGCAACAGTGATAATGTTAGAAGTGGAATTTGAATAGATGTTAATAGAAAAATAGCCGACTTCGGGAATCCTGACCACGCTGCATTACAAGAAACCAGATATATAACCAGAGGAATATACTGAGGGTAAACTTACTGACATAAACGAGAAAAGTAGATGCCCTAGGGTAAGTGGTATAGTTAAAGGAACTCATAGAGCTGTCTCATGACATTGAAAATATAAATAATAAAATGTTGGAAGCTGGTTAAAACATGACAGTATTTCAGTTCACCTAGTTGGTTGTCCATAACTTGTTATATTTTTAACAAGAAATAAATATTTTTATTCTGTTCCTGATGTTTTAAATTGTGTGTATTTACTTTTATTTACTTTTTAGATTCCCATATGCATTTGTAATGCATAGAATTTTTAATATTTTGAAAAACTTTTAAAAAGATGAAATAGTCATTTTCTTCATTAATTATTAAGAGTACTTTGCATAATTTTAGCTGGCTTGATCACTAAAAATGACCATGATGGTTAGCACATCTTGTATTTTGCCTTTGAAAGTTGTTTTTGGTTACTAGTTAGTCCAGTATAAGTTCTTCCATGGTAGTGACATTATGCACAAGAGTTGTTTATAGTCATATAGGAGCATGATTTTGATCTCGAGATGTAGGGCACATATTTTATGACATGTACTATAAATTATGTGTTCTTATTTCTTTGCTTTTGATTTCTTAGATTAGACCTGGGTAACATGGTTCTTTTCCTTAATTTCATACTTATACATCTGGTATTTTTTTATGGAGTACAAAAATTCATAATCAAATAATTAAAAATATTTACAACACCTAAGAAAGTATTATTACATGTATTTTTGTTCTAGCTATTTCAAAATGAACTGATATTTTAGAGATTTGTGAATATGAAAATAGCATAGATGGAAGAAGCTGAGATCACAGAAAGAGAGAAGGGAATTGGGAATAATTTGACTTCATAATTGAAATACTTTAGATGGGCAGATGTTAATGAAAACTCAGAGATTCCAAAGAGGATTCTAAAAGTTCTTGAAATGTTTAAATTGGAGCATCGAATCAAGTATGGAGGGTGATATGAAATATAATCAGAAATTACAGAGACTGTTTAAATTTTTGTTTAATGCAATAAAAGACGCATTTCTGTTAATTCCCTTCCAAATACTCCTGCTCCTTTTGAGCAGATCCCTTTGTTTTTTCCACTTTGTGAAGCAGTCCTGGAAGTCCTCTTTCAGGTATGTTCTTAGTTGCACTGTTTTGCATGGCTGACTCGATGTCCTGAATTGATTCAAAGTGTTTACCTTTTACGGTCATTGTGACTGTGTGGAAAAGCCGTACGTTGCATTGTGCCGGATCAGTGAATTGTGTGGTATGAGTAAGCAGGAGGAGGACAGCAGAGCTGGAACCCAGCAGCAGTCACTGTAATTTTGATCGCACTTCACAAAGCTACCTAAGCAGACTTCTAGAACTGCTTCACAAAGTGGAAAGCACAGTGGCATGTGTTTGAAGAGAGGGGGAGTATTTTGGGGGAGATTAATAGCAATATGTCTTTAACTGTATTTTAAAAGTCGAAACATTCACTGCGAATGTTGATTATACCTTGTAGTTAAGAGCTATGAGAAAAATGGTCTGCTTTGTAGTTTCAGGTCTAGCAATCCTTAAGTCATTCGGTCCCTTTGAGCTTCAGTTCCCTATATGTAATACTAGAGAATAACTGCCTTTTGGGTCTCTGTAAGTGTTTGAAAGGAAATAAAGCTGTCTCAGTTGTAAGAATTGATTCTGGGAATTAACCAAGGCCTTGTGCATGTTAAACACACGCTTTACTATTGAGCTGCACTCATGGCCTTTCAATAAAAAATTATTAAGAAAATATTTTAATCCCTAGGGTATACTTGGCAAAATGCAATTATATGACAGATATGTGTTTTTATAAACCATCACTAGAAACTTTATGTATTGTTTAGAGCTACAGTTATGCTGCAGTTGGAGAATTAAGTAGTTATGCCAGAGGTTATATGGTGCACAGACCTAACATTTATTATTTGGCTGTCGGGAAATACAAAGCGAAAGATGGCCTTACTGTGGTTCACGCCTGTCTGTGTGAGTAGGTAATTTCTGGTGTCCAGGACAGGCGTACCTCATTGGTACTCAGTGTAAATACCTGATAATCATCAAGATCATTACATACGTGTAGCCACTGCTGTTTATGTAGATCCCTTAGTATAGCTGGACTAATGAGTGAGCTACAGTTTAAGTGAATGAGGACTCCAGAACATGCAGTGCAGCCAAGAAAAGCTAAGAAGCTAAATAAGTGTGTCAGGCATTCCCATGACTGTGTGTCTCTTCTTGTGGTACTCAGATCCGAAGTGATGCTTCTCCATTTTAAATGATGACGAAACACTGGCCATCTAAGAAAATTCCAGTTGCATGTCTGTAATCCAAACTGCTTTGGGGGATGAGGCAGGAGGGTCACAGATTCAAGCTTTAGGGAGACCCTGTCTCAGAAAGGGCAGGGAATGTCGTTCAGTGGTATGCTTGGCTAGCATTGGTGAGTCTTTAAGGTTCAGTCTCTAGTCTGGCAAAAGAAAAAAGCAAGGAGGGAAAATAAAGAAAAGAGGAAGAAGGAAAGAAACAAAGAACGAAAGAGAAAAAAGGTCAAGTCACAGAAGGCTACAGCAAATATTTTTCATTGACCTAAAGAATGAATCAAATGGCCAGGGATTTAGCTCAGCAGCATAAGCGCCTGCCTGGCAAGCATGAGGTTGTGAGTTCAATCCCCAGGACCACCAAAAAAAAAAGAATCACATGTCACAAGTTCAGAGCTTGGTGTAATTCAGTGCGTCATGTAGTCTGAGGACTACCTCAGCTGTTGTCATTGCTACTTCTGAGGCGTAGAATTCTTTTTTCATGTTTCTACCTTGAATTGTGTTTTTCTTGCATATTTTGACTTTTTATTTAAAGAGAAAACAACAGAAAAAGGGTAGAAATAATACATAATTTAAAAAAATAAACAGTAAGCAATCACTAGTTGATAATTAAATATTGTCCACTTAGAGATAGTTGTTCCAGTTACAAAAGTAAAGCATACAAAGTGGACATTTAAACAGCGAGACTGCAAATAGTTCTATTCAACGATAGTAATGGCTATCAATCTTACACACTTAAACATACATGCAGTTATATCCTTTAGATCACTTTTTTTCCCTCCCTTTTTTACAATAACAATTACACATTTTGGGTTTTATCACTCCTGCATTTCTTACTACTTTTTACACTAGAGACTCATTGTGATATTTCTAAATACGATTCTTATTTATTTCACTAATGAGCATAGTCTCAAGTTGTCTCCATTTACCTATGAAGGCCTCAAGATCATCCTTTTTTATAGCTGAGTAATATTCCATTGTAGAAAAACACCACATCTTTTTCACCCACTCTGCGGTTAATGGGCACCGTGGTTGTTTCCAAGATTTAGCTATTACAAATTGTGCTGTTATGAACATGGGTGCACATATATCACTGTGATATGACCTTTTCAGTTTTTCTGGGAAAATACCCAGGAGGGGAAGAGCTGGGTTGAATGGAACTTCCAATCCTAGTTTTCTGAGAATTCTCCATACTGCTTTCCATAGTGGTTGCACCAGTCTGTACTCCAGCAGTGGAGCAGTGCTCCTTTTTCCTCGCATCCTCGCCAGCAATTGTTATCAGTTGATGGCAGATGGCAACCATTCTTTCTGGAGTGAGATGAAATCTCAGTGCTGTTTTAATTTGTATTTCTTGAATGACCAGTGATGATGAACATTTCTTCATGTATTTTATTTTGCCATTTGTATATCTTCATCTGAGAACTGTGTTTTTGGAGAAGGTCTTTGAATTTGGGGGGCTTCATTTTTTTTTTTTTAATATGTTCTAGATATAAGTCCTTTGTCTGAGGGGTTGCTGGCTAAAATTCTTTCCCATTCTGTGGGTTTTCTTTTCACTCTGTTGGTGATTTCTTTTGAAGTGCAGAAACTTTTCAATAATATGAGATCCCAGTTGTTAATTCTTTGAAGTGTTTCCTGTGCAGTTTGCAT